TCTCTCTCTCTCTCTCTCTCTCTCTCTCTCTCTCTCTCTCTCTCTCTGTAACGAGCCTCTTTTCTGCTTAATTAACATTAGTCGGGGCTTGTTTGTGCAGGCATGCTATTCAGGTCATGAATAATCTAGGGACTGGAACTGGTTTCTTTTGCATTCTGAGAACTGTTTAGTTTCTCCATATTCAGCCTGGCTTATCGGGCGCATTGTCTGCATGCGTGTGCAGATTTGTGTGTGTGTGGGGTTACCTAATGAATAGGGGAATGCTAATGGTGGTAAAACAGTGATTTCTCCAGCTGATTGGGTGTAATGGATGGTACTCAGAGCTCCTTCATAATTGATGAGGATGTCTTGTGGATGTCCCACTGCTGTTGTGCATTGACGGTGGTATGCGTGCCAGTGTTATGCGTCTGTGGAAGCGGCAGTGTTTTTTGGGTGGGGCCCCGAGACTCGGGAGGAGTCTGTTCTTGTTATTTCTGCAGTAGCTCCTGTCAATTCTTATTAACAGAAGCAACGCTCCACTCTCTCCATAATGTATGACTGCGGTTTGCGGGAAAGAATGGTGTCAGATTCTCTTATCAAATTGAAAGAAAACAAAGCCATAATCTAATTGTTTGCAAAAGGAGAATGGGATGATTACATCTCATTCTTTTTCATCTCTCTCAGAGCAAAGGAAAGGGAGAACGGGGGACCCATCACTGTGCAAAAAAAAAATCTATATAAATATGTCTTTTCCGTCTAAGTTTGTCTGAGATTGGCAGGGAGGTGTGCGACTGTGGGGATGAACAGAAATACACATAGACAGACAGACAGACAAGTTCACACAGTTGCATCTGATGAAATGGAGACTGACAGCCAAGGACGTTTGGCTGGCACATTCTGCCTCCGCAGTATACGTATTTATTTTATCTAAATGAGAGATGGTGTTTATAATCTCCGCTTTCAATGTTGCTACAAAGATATTCGACTATTACTTTTGCCAACACAGCCGGGCCACAAAAAAAAAAAAATGGATGTGAGGAGCAGAGGGCAAAATGAAAAAAAAATAAGAAGAAGCTTTTGTTGCTTGTTGTTATTGAAATGGGTAAAGAGTTGACCGCAGGGTTGCTGCTTGCATTGAAGCTTAATGCCCACCTGTTTATCCTCTGTGCGCCTGTACGTCTCCGTTTGCTCATCCGAATGCATGTGTAAAACAACAATTGTGACATCTCTCCACTGCAGTGCACCTGCGAGATCCTGGAGAGCTAACCGCACAAACCTGCAGATTACCTCGGGGCCCCGCGGGGTCTCCCATCACTCCTACACGAAGTCCCGCAGTTAAACACATCTCACTCGCTCGCTCTCTCTTTCTTTTCTTTCCTGGCTTTCTGTCCTGTTGCTATGCTTTCATTTTGCATCATCAGACTCCCCCGGCACCTTTCGCCCGCTACCACATTTTTCATTTGTCCTCTCTTCTCTCTCCATCTCTTCTGGGCTTCTCTCTGTTTCCCCCGTCTCGCTGTTTCCCAGGCATCGTGCCAACCTGATGCTTCACTCCCAACTCCTGGCATCCATGGCTTTCAGAAGGTTTGGCTGAAGGAATGTAGACAGCCAGGTAACAAACAGATTTAAAGGGACTGATATTGGTTAGAAATACAGTATGGGTAAATAGCCACGCAGGTCCACTAAAACAGACCAAAAAGTGAGTGTTTTAAGTCTAAATATATATTAAATTGGTTAATGTTCATACTACTGATGCAATATCTGCGTTTTCAGGCACTAAAAAAGTTCCAAACATCAACTCAGGTCCAATTTTATTATTATTATTATTATTATTATGGTGTTTTAAGAGAAAGTGCAAAAGAGAACACAGAGTGAACTTCCAGGTCTGCAGAAAGGAGGTAACTTGTTATATGTGAAAGGACAAAAACAAATCTTGGAGCAAATATTAATGGAATAAAAGAACAAAGGCACGTCTTGAAGAGCACAAGGGAGCACTTGATTCTCTTCATTCTAAGTCGTGATCTATAATTACACCATTACAATTGTCGAATAAAAATTCTGCCTAGCAAGCAGCTCATATTGTTTAAAACAATCCGTTGGTCAAAGGTTACGTTTTTATTTATTTATTTATCGTTGGCGTTTTAGCAAAAGAACCTTTGGCAAAAAGCTGCACAGCCAGCAATTATACAGCCACCGTGTATAAGTGGTGGGAAACAAAGTCAGGAGGTAAAAGCCTGGAAGATAAAAATGAAAGTGGGGGGAAACCGATTTAAGGAATATATGAGCAAACATGCACTGAGAGAGAAAGATATTTTGTTTCTTTCTCACTTCATGGATATGGGTAAAAATCTATTTGGAAACATGCTTCTGGGGAAATTCAATAGTGTCTTTATTGCATTGTGTATGCAAGCCGTACAACTAATAACACAATTTCATTATTGATGACCGAGATGAAACGCACCGCTGTCAGTGTTATTCAGTTTCACCCATGCACTGTTTGCATCAGGCTGCAGTGAGACAAAGCGATGCAATATCAACAGGATCGTCTTGCAGAGGCTGTTGGGATGATAAAACCTGATCTTATAAAAGGAGAAAATGAAATAAGATGAGAGTTTGCCCTTTTCCTTATAGTCTACTTCACAGTAAATCTAGCGTATACTGTAGACGCTCCTGTAAGTGTAATTGGTCTCAGTTTCACAAGATGG